TTTTTTTTTTTTTTTTTTTTTTTTTTTGGTGGAGTTTCACTCTTGTTGGCCAGGCTGGAGTGCAATAGTGCCATCTTGGCTCACTGCAACCGCTGCCTCCAGGGTTCAAGTGATTCTCCTGCGTCAGCCTCCTGAGTAGCTGCGATTACAGGCGCCTGCCACCATGCCTGGCTAATTTTTTGTATTTTTAGTAGAGACGGGGTTTTACCACGTTGGCCAGGCTGGTCTCGAACTCCTGACCCTATGGTGATCCACCTGCCTCGGCTTCCCAAAATGCTGGGATTACAGGCGTGAGCCACTGTGCCTGGACTCTGTCAAAGGTTTCTGTGCACCAGGGCGACAATCCCGGTTTCTTCGATGTTTCTTGCTGTGACATGGTTTTCAAGACACACATCATCCTATTCCCTCTCCATTGGAAATGGTTCATTGAGGACCATTTACAGTGTAGCACAAAGAACTAACAAGCACAGAAACAAATAAAAAATAACAAGCAAACAATCTGCAGAAATGGCCTTTCTACTACTATTAGGGCATCTTTACTGAGAATGACAATTCTAATTTCATCTAAGAACTCCTGAGACACAAAGTGGCTCACAGCAACATGATGGATATTTAAGTTCTTGCTTCTCTTACTTAGTTGTTTTATTTATTTATTTATTTTTTGCTTACATAAAGGAAGACTGTATAAGTATCCTTTTATGGTTACCTTGTTAAGTTTGGTCTATTGATGTAGTCTGTTAAATATAAATTTAATGATTATTCTCTCATCCATCACATTGGCCTCTAGTTTCATGTCTTCTGCCAATTCAATGTCCACAGCATCTTTCTCTCTTCAGTCAGTCACTGATTAAAATTTGATCATGGTCTGCTATAGGACAGAAATCTGTCGACACATTGGGAGAAAACTTCTCTGTGTCAGTACTTTTTCTAAAAGATGCTATTTGAAGAAAAATAAAGATTTCTGGTCAAATATATTTGGGAAACACAGCATCGTATATTCTCTCTGTTAAAGTCACAATATTTATTGGATATTCCAGAAGCTATGATAATTATAGACATTGAGAAAAATCAATTGTTTAATCCAAAGTTCCCTAAACAAATTTGCCAATGGATAGCCTCATCATTTATTTAAATAAGATGTTTATTTGGAATAATTTTAGATGTACAGAACAGTTACAGAAGTAATACAGAGAGGTTTCCATATAGCCTCAGCCAGTTTCAGTTTCCTCTAATCTTATCATATCACGTTATCATGAGACATTTGTCAAATATGAGAAAACACTAGTGGTGTGTTACCATTAACTAAATTCCAGACTTTATACTACAGTTTTCCATTAATGTATTTTTCTGTTTCAAGATCTATTCCAAGACACCATACTACATTTCATTATGTATGGTTTGTGAGAGTTTCTCAGTTTTTTTCTTATTTTTCATAATCTTTCCAGTTTTGAGGAGTAATGATCAGGAATTTTGTAGAATATCCTTCAAAAGGTATGCTTGATGTAACTTCTCAAGATTAGACTGGGGTTATGGGCTTTTGGAAAAAAAAAATCACAGAGGTGAAGAGCCCGTCTCATCACATCATATTGGGGAGATAGGTACCTGATGTCAGTGTGACCCATCTTTGGTAATGTCAACCTCTGTCCCTTGGATAATTCCTGTTATTCAGGTTTTATACACTGTAAAATTATTATTTCTCCCTTTCTCTGCTCTATTTTATGGAAATGAGCCACTAAGTCCAGACAACCCTCAAGGGCTCAGTCACCATTTAAATGCAATTCTTATTATTTATTTTATGCTATTAATAATGTTCTTTGGAATGTAATTTAGAAAACACTGCTCTGGATAAATACAAATTACCTAACCATGTGTTTTTTTTTTTTCATCTGGTTGTTCAAGCAGTTGTAGTCTGATCAAGTCACATTACAACTCCTCCATACTTCTCCATGAGTTATATTAGGAATTTTAATGCATTCTCAATATTACAGAACCATAGAATTCGACAAGCATTGGGTACATCAGAGATCGTTTTGTTTTCTCCCTTATTACAGAGAAAGTAATATGAGGTTCCAAATTCTTTCTGGAATTGACCAAAGGTACTCATGAAATTATTGAGAGTATAAATCTAGAAGAATTTCTTGACTTGTAGACAGTCACGAACATGGTAGAGGACATTACTCCTTTACTATGAAGTGACGTGCTTCTATTCTTGTTTTATGTGGTTGATACAGAAGAATAGAAGAAGCCATAAAACTGAACTGAAGAAAAGTCATATTGTCGGGAGAGGGGTAGCTGTAAAATTTGAGTAGAGAGCAGTGCACTTTATAGTGGAACTCACTGTGGTGAATTACTGTGATGACACAGAACTGATAGAAGACTTGTGGATATTGAAGATACTGAGAGGGATTGTGCCTTCAGGATGATTCATTACCATTTATGATTGGCCTTAGCAGTTGAAAAAAATGTTTGTTAGCTAAATTAAGGGCCATCAGTGTAATATTCTTTGCTCCAAGTATCTCTACAGTGGGCTTATTTAGTGTATCTGAAATATTCCCACTAAATATGTACCCTTGTTGCTTATGGCTTGGTATGTTATTAAGGTGCTCTGGAAAAACAAAACACAAAAATGTGGATTTGTCAGTTAGAAGCTTTTTAGTGTAGCAGCTGGCTAAAAGATTCTAGGGCGGAGAGAGGCAAAGATGAAAAGAGTTGAATTTCTGGTAGCGGGGATGTGAAAAATTTCCCTCAAAGAAAAAAAAACGAATCTTTCTACCACTTTGCTTAGGGAAGTCCCTATAATCTTAGAGGCAACAATAAGAGAGTGAAATATTGCAAGCACTGAATTGAGCCAATTTTCAATCACTCTGATTTCTACAAAGCTCTCTTAAAGATAAGTTAATATTGCTGGCTTAAAATAGTTTCATATATGGGACTCCCTTAGAAATGATATGGATAGTGTTTTATTTAATATGTCTGCTGTGATGGTCTTAGGCAAACTTGACTTATGGAATTCCAGTTAGCATGATTATAGTAACGACAGTTGGTTTTGCATCTGTATAGCACTTTATAGTTTATAAATACTCTTTATAGAAATAGTCTTCTTGGAATGATATATATCTGGCCATTATTCTGTTTAATAGATGTGCTATATTATGGCAGAAGCTGCTAATATCATTGTATCTATCGGTGTGTTTATTTTGTGCACAGAATCATACTCATACCACAGAGTCTAACGCAGTAGCAGTAGTGTGGTGTAGTTAGCAATCAAGAACGCTGGACCTTGAATAACTGGGCTCAAATATCACTTTCACCATTTATTAACTGTGAGTCCTTGAGAAAATTCCAAAATTCTTATGTCTTAGTTTTGTTATCTGTAGAATGGCATGCTAGTACCTGTCTCATATGCACACACAAAGTTATACTACTTGGTTCAGAGTAGGAACTCTCCAAGTATCAATTATCCCTGTTACAGAAACTGTATGTATAGACAACTATGGAGATTTCCTGTCCAAGGATTTTCCTGACAGTTTCCTCTGGTCCATATCAAAATGAAAAAAAAAATAAGGATAATAAATTTTTTTTTACCCAAATCTAAATTTATTCAATTTAAACTTTTTTTATTCTAACATTATGCCATGCTATCTTTTGTAAAATATACTTTCAAAAATGAAATAAGGATTGTAAATTATTTTAAGGGTCTCCCCTAGGGCTAGGAAGAATGTAAATCTAATGCCCAGTAGCCTAATTGGGCTTCGAAATATTATTGTTATATCTGAAACTAAAGTGCTTATAAGAACTGATCTAGAACATTAAATGTGGTTTGAATGTTTTTGTTCCCCTGAAGTTTATATGTTGAAATCCTAACCCCAAAGGTGATGGTGTTAGGAGATAGGGCCTTTGGAAAGTGAC